TATGAGTATCCAAAAAAGCTACCCAATGTGCTATCTGTGCTGGGTCCACTATGAGTATCCAAAAAGCTACCCAATGTGCTATCTGTGCTGGGTCCACTATGAGTATCCAAAAAGCTACCCAATGTGCTATCTGTGCTGGGTCCACTATGAGTATCAAAATCCAATATGTTGCATTACAAGTTTTTCTTTTACTGAATTCAAGAAAATAATTGTTTTTTAGCCATCTTAGGAGAATACTTGATGAGTTCGATGTAATCAATTAATGAGGCCAACAGTCAACCGATTTAATTATCAAATTCCACTAATTACGCAGCTACAGTCCAAATAACAAAAAAACATCCTGAAAAAAGTGTCAGACTAACAAAAAAACATCCTGAAAAAAGGGTCAGACTAACAAGAAAGTATTTCAAGTTGGTGATACACACTGGTTTTCATTAATATCATATTTTGCTATATTATTTTGTAAAGCTTCTGTTATCATATTTTTGAGAGTTTTCCATTACAAAAGTAAGACTAAATGGCCTATAATTTCCAGGATAACTCTTATCACTTGCTTTAAAAATTAAATTACCATAAGCAATCCTCAGGTACATGCCCACTCTATACTAACCTATTAAACATATGCAAGAGAAGCTTGATATATCTAATCACTTACCACCTTTAAATCCCTGGAGAAAACCTTGTTTGACCCTATTGCATTATCTATTTTTAATAACTCAATCTTCTACTTAAAGCCAAAGGATTAATATCTACACGATTCAGGTCGACATCAATATTTCCTGTAGAATATCAGGTTTGATAATGTGGTACAGAACATTTAAAACTCAGTCATCTAATTACCTTCCACGTTATAATCTTGCCACTGGTATCCTTTAAGGGCCCAACCCCCATTCTAAAATTTTAAATTACAATAACACACTTTTCCCTTTCCTAAATAATCTTATGTTTATAACATCATATTTTAAAACCACTGAAAAACAAAAATTTGCTAAAAGCTTATACACTTAAGTAATAATAATAAAATCAAAGTGCACCCGAGTTTTTTTTTTACCTTCTCAAAAAATAACAAAAAAAGTTGCTTCATTGTTTTCTTTTTTGTGGCTGGGCAGGTCTTCAACTCCAATTTCCTGCAGCTGCCTAATGACAGGTTAAGAAAATGTAACAATGGGAAGAAACACTGCATCCAGTAATTCATTTTTTTTAGGTAATTCTCCAAGTAAAATTCAAAAGTGATGTATAGAATGAGAAACTGTACATATAAAACTTATACTGAGGTACAGACAAACTGGGGCACAATTTAATAATTTTATTATTTCTGACTGGGATAGAAAATAAAAACTGGAACATCTGGTAATGTTAAATTTGCTTAACTTTAACATACTTAAAAAATCATAGCTGTTAAGTTTAAATATATCAGCTAGCTCTTTCTCATAATCCCTTTTGGACTTCCTAATCTTTAGTTATTTTAACCAAATCCTTAATTTTGCTATAACAGTGTAAGTATAATTCTGTAAACTAAGTTTCTAATCTCTCTGTCAATATATATATATATATATATATATATATATATACATATATTTAATTCTTATATTTATGGCATTTATCACAGATTTTATCAGCCAATTAGAATTGATCTTCCGTTTTGTTTTCATATTATTGGGAGCATGCCTATTTGAATTAAAGTAACTTTTGTTTTTAATTTCCCATTTCATCTTATGGTTCAGTCAATTTGTACTAATTATCTATTGTACGCAGTGTTAGCAGATACATATATATCAGTTAATAACATGCAAAAATGACTTTACTCACGTGTTGTTGGCTGCAGTTGTACGCCAAAACTAATTTAAATTTAAACACTACATACCTGTATCAAAATATAATACAATACCAAAAATTAACTTTTCACCATCACTGCAACAGGTAAGTTGTTCCTTAAAATTAGATTCAAATAAAGTAATATATAGAAAATATACTTTATGTACGACTATAAATTATTAAATGCACTGGAAACATGGGTGTATCGTCATTACGTAGGAATACGCATTTGGTTAGAGGCGCAGAGCGCTGTAGTGTAAGTTGTAACATAAATTATAAAACTTTAAATGTATACAATATTAACTAATATTATAAATTAATTATTAACATATACATGTCTTTATATTTATTTTGACTTTTCAAAATACCAGATATTTGCAAGCCCATATCAAATATTTAAACATACCGGTGGTATATTTTGAAAATCAACGACAAACTGAAAAGCGAAACTGTTTGAGGCGAATGAAATATTATTCTCTCCTTGACCAAAGTATCCGCCATATTGTCACATGCTCATTGTTAACCCAACTCACATGACCTGTTGTTTGGCCCCGTGATCAACTTTGTTGCATCCCCTGGCAAATTCAAAACATTTGGGTCAACCACATGGATATGTTAGATCAAGCCTTAGATAGCAGGTAAAAAAAAAATAAGATGTTACGTTTATACTGACTTATATTGAATATTTTGTATGGCCGATGAAGATTTGCCCTCAGTTAATAGAAAGTGTTTTGAGAATAGGTTACGTAGGCTGGTACTAGTAGTCCATTCATTGCAAATACAAAACTGGGTAGTATCTTTTAGTTTTACTTTTAGTAATGGTGTCTTACTTGTAGTTGTACTGTAGTCGTAGTGTCAGTAAATAAAAAGTTGTGTATTTAGCTTACATCAAATAACGTGATTGAAAATGAATATTTTCCGCTCAAATCGTATTTATACTGTTTAGAATTATCGAGAAGTACATGATCCAAAATATAACTTCAGTTATAATTTATTAATTAACTATAAGTTTAAGTTGTGTTTTCAGTTTCAATTTAAAGTTTAAGTTCCGCGTAATTTAATTACCTAACTTAGTTAATTAGTACAGCTGTTAATATTATTATTAGTAGTATATATAATTATACTGTACTGTAGAAATACAATCTTAGTCCTACAAACCACCACTGTTACTATTAGTATTACTAATTATTCTCTAGATTAGGCCTATAAGTATTAAACTTAGTTAAAATAACGTTCATTATTTTTACAAGAAAAGAGGTAACATATACTTTATAAAGAATAAAACCAATGATTAATTCATCTATAGCTATTTTATCAGTGTTATTCATTTAATGTTTAACTAATTAAGCGTACAAATATACTGTAATTTATATAACATGGGTCTCCTAACTTAGTTTTTAAGTAAAAGTAAAAATTACTACTTATGTTGAAAATATACAGAAATAATAAGCTAAAATAACTAAGGATGAATGTTATGATGTTACTATTAGTATTAGGAATTTTATAGCCAGCACAGGAATTGATAACTTTAAATGCTTTTTAATTACTGCACTTGTCATATTCTGGTTTTATATTCATTAATACTAGTAGTACCAGCAGAAACGTATTAGCATACTATTAATTTCTTTTCAATGCAGCTCTATTTTTGTGTATGTGTTTGTCAAATATGTACCTGATACAGCTTTAGCTTTAAATATATCAAGTTTAAATTATACTGATGAAAATGGATGATGTTGATAATGCAGATCAATGAGAAATAATAAAATATATGCTAGCTGATATTTAATGTAGGACGTAAGACATAGGGTTTTGGGGATGGGATCTTAATGTTGACCTCTCTTTATCCCTTATGTGTCAGGTTTGGTGACAATCGACCTAGAAGTTTATCAGTTATAATCAAACAAGTACATAAAATGTTGTTTTTTGTTGTTGATTTTTTAATAGATGTTTATGTGTGTATATATATGTCTCTTATAACAGACAAATTACTTTGAAATGGGTTTATTTGTTCTGGAGCATAAAAGAACTAGCAGTAACAGAATCAGATGTTTAAATTTTTTAGAGCTGAAAATTCTGCCTTTTAGAAGTATGTTTAGAAATTAGATAGGGATAGTACTTATAGGATAGGTTAAGTTAGCTTATTTTCTTTTAAAGTGGTGACAGTATTGAAATACTGGAGTCTAGCACTTTAACTTAATATAAAATAAACAAGGAACCATTTGGTATATCGAGGGTGTTTCTACCTACCTACACTTGAGAAAACTAAACCCTTTTTGGATTTGTAAAGTATTAGCTTCCATTACTGTAGAAGGCAACTTATTACATAAGCCAGTCTTCTGTTATGAAAATAAAACTGACAACTTATTCTGTGAGCCAGTCTTCTGTTACAGAAATATAACTGACAGCTTGTTACATGAACCAGTCTTCTGTTACAAAAATCAAACTGACGACTTATTACATAAGCCAGTCTTCTGTTATGAAAATAAAACTGACAACTTATTACATGAGCCAGTCTTCTGTTACAAAACTATAACTGGCAACTCATTACATAAGCCAGTCTTCTGTTATGAAAGTAAAAATGACAACTTATTAAATAAGCCAGATTTCCTTTATGAAAGTAAAACCATCATAACTGAAGCCCAAATGTATTTTCCAAATCTTATCGTTCTGTTTTCAAAATGTAGCATAAAGAAAACAGATATCTTTATACAACCCTGAATCATATTGTGCACTTCAGTAAGATCGTCTCTTACCCATTTCTCATCACTGTCAGTTCCCTTCACAATCTTTAAATCCTCAATAAGATCCCCTATAACTTTTAATTTTTTAAAAGAAAGTTTCAACAGTCTAAATGTGTCCTCATATGGCAACCTTTCCATTACAAACGTCATCGTAGTAGTGCTTATCCATGATTTTTCTCTGATGGCTTTAGTAACTCAGTAAGGTTTGATATTTCCTGTTGTCTTCTTTCTATTTTAAGGAACGTGCCTATCTTGAATTAAAAGGAAATTATTTTATAGTTTCCAAACTCTATGTTATATCACTGTTTAATTCATTCTTCTAATTCACTAGTTATAAATATCCTCTGATGGCTTCAGAATTCTTTCTGAAACTTTAGAACAAAAATTTCATTTCTATTTATATCAACATGTTGTAAAACTCTGAACAAAACTGTCAGTTTGTGTAACGTGCAAGATGGAGATAGGGTTAGGTTTAAATAGGTTTTGTACATTAAATGTATAGTGAATTGAATTGTGACTTGTAAATTCGTCCAATTTTTAGGGTCAGTTACATTGTAAGTTGAGAATGATGAAGCAAATGCTAGTGAAACGGTCATCAAAACATTTATTAGATCAATTAAGGAAAATTCAGAAAAATTTCTCTATCAAAGTAAGGCTAATTTCCACAGTTTTAAGAGTTACGTTTACATGTATTTTCCAGTGTATCTTTTTATTTTTACACTTTACACTAGTTGTTGATTACAACTAAAACAAATGAATAGAACTTAGAATTTATGAAAATAGCTTTTCTTCCAGACTTTCATTAAATGATGGAGAGGTAATGTATTGTAGTTTCTTTGACTCAATACATTTTTACAAACTTATCAACATGAAATCTTCAACAGTTAATTCAAGTTGAAGTCTTTTAGTATACAATTCTTGAAACAAGCTATCATCCCAGTAGCCCTCCACTGTATCTTTTATGATTGAAACGAGGAAATTCGAACTTAGTATTCAGAGAAGCCTCACCAGTCTTGCACAAGGAGACAATAATATTTTTAAAATTTTACACGTTGAATGGAAGTACTGATTAGATGCTGAGACCACTAATCTGAGGCTCCTTGGCTCTTGCCATGTTACTCCAAATATGCACTCAACACTTTGGGGTCATGAATGCACTGTATGAGTGATGGATAAGTCCCACTATTTGGTCAGATGAGTAGCCTAAGTGGGTGCTGTTAAATTTTCTCTAATCTATATATTTGCAGTCAACTTTCTAGCTTTACAAGAAAATACTAAAACAAATTTTAAATTCAGATTTCTAGGTCCACAACTCAGAATTATTTCAAACATCCATCTGTTTATTAATGTTTTCTCATAGGAGAAAAGTTCTTGTATCCTACTAGTTTCACCTTGCATATCCCAATATTGAAGCACACTATGAGTTTTTGCCTTCTTACTTCGACTGTTCATGTTCTGAATCGGGAGGGAAAAACTTTCTATGGAACCAGGCTGACCAAATATCCTATAAACCTAATCTTTTTTTTTGCAGTGATACAAATACAATTTCTTGCACTTTTAAGAGCTCACATTAGTTTCTAAGCTCAACACAAGAGTGGATTTAGTTTACACTTTCTCCAAATGATTAAAATGGGCGCTATGTTAACACAACCACCTATTTTACTTAGGTGTAGTGTAACTATAAAAAAAAATGTCAAAAATATTTTAGGTTATTGTCATTAGAAAAAAGTATATTCTAGTGACATGGTTGTATGCATAGTTAAAACAACTTCTTGAAGGTCTTGACAATAAGACAGAAAATGAAACTTGCATTAAACTTATCAAAAATTAGTAATTAAAAACTTAGAAATGGTAAGATAAAAACCTGGACACAGACATTGACCTGTCTTGTAAGATGACCATTCTTTAAATATGTTTGTTCTTGTGTAGGTTAGATTCATTTTCGATTAGTACTATGCTTTCTTAAATTTAAAACCCTTTCCTGAGTAAGTATTTTTGTTATACCCACCCCCTACATATACAAACTGTCTACTAAGTAAGTGGTATTTGCTTTTTTGTTTCTTACATTTTTCGCTGCTTAACAATATTTGCCGACGTATGTTTCGTTTAAGCAAATGCTTTAAAACAGTTCCATTTTTATCTATAGGTATTATTTAAGACTTTAAAGTAAATAAAATATTATATGTTCATCTAAGATCAAACGTGTATCATTTTGTGTTTAATTAAAGTGTATTGTATGTTTCAGCAACGGAGACAAGGTAAATGATTCAGATTCATCTGATGATACCTCACATGTGCAAGTTGATGGTAAGTGTGCTCTTATCATTAATATGTACCGGCCTGTGTTAAATCATCATTTAATATCTTTATATTAACTTTGTATAAAAACATAAATTTCACATTATGTTATTGCTGATTACTTGTATGCTTTGACAAAAAAATTCAACTAAAAAAGTTACCAAGGTGGATGTCAGTAATATATTAACATACAACACGTACATAGATATGTAACATCTGGATGTTAATATATTACTGACATACAGTTACATATCTATGTACAGATACATGTATGTTAATATATTACTGACATCCTGTAACTGTATGTTAATATATTACTGACATCCAGATACACGTACATAGATATGTAACTGTATGTTAATATATTACTGACATCCAGATACACATACATAGATATGTAACTGTATGTTAATATATTACTGACATACATAGATATGTAACTTTACACATCTAGGTACGTATATCTGGATGTCAGTAATATATTAACATACAGTTACATATCTATGTACGTGTATCTGAAGTTTACAAATTTTTAAAGTGAGTTGAGCAAAAGTTACATTGCTATTTTTGAGATCTGAACATAACTTCCAAGGTGATACCTCACCTTCTCACATAGTCATTGTATCACTCACATATGTTCACCTCTACACACGGAGTTGCTGTATCACCCACACATATGTTCACCTCTACACACGGAGTCGCTGTATCCTCCACACATATGTATACGAGACTTGTAACTTGAACCCATTCCCACCTGTAATTTCTGAGTTCAACGTGAACTGTGCTGGTGCATGATGACATCGTCATGGGTCAAAAGCTCTCCACTGATAGGAGGACAGCAACACCTTCATCTGCAGTAACTCTTTAAACACTTGTACTCAAAATAACTTCTTTCATTTCCTTGGCATTGCCTTGTACAGATGTGTTGATTTTTCAGTCTACGTTCAAGTTACTGAGATTAGCAATCGTACACAGGAACTTAGCTTTTGTTTTAAAATCAATGAATATTACAATGAATTGTCAAGTGACTGTGACTTTATCCTTTGATGGGGATGAAGTTACAAACACAAGACCTATCACT